TATCTATCTATCTATCTATCTATCTATCTATCTATCTATCTATCTATCTATCTATCTATCTATCTATCTATCTATCACTTTGAAGAATGTTAGCAGTGTAAAATTATTATATTAACTATGACAATAAAATGATCATTCTAAGTAAAATTACAAAACTTTTGGCAGCAAATTAAATAATAAATGACATATAACATTGTGTAAGCAGTGTGTTGTCACTGAGATGAAGCTAATTTAACAATGTTATGTTTTGTCGTTTTATTTCAATGTACGATTTTTGCCTTGAAGTGAGATCATTTGCACATTTAGTAAGAAAAATCTGAGTTTTTCCTGATTCAAAATGGCTCCATAATGTCACGACGGATCTTGCTAACCTAAACTCTGACATTATTATTAGGTCATTTGGATTTAAAATTGCTTTTAATAAATACTTTAACTGCTTTTTGCATCCTTTCCCTTTATTTTTAATAACTCCTGAGCCAAGTTGACAGTAGGAGAGCTCGTCCGGTCTCTGCTCTAACCGAATCACCATTAATAACACTTAATTGGAAGAGCTGTCACAGTAGACATTTATATAGTCCCTACCACATACAGCTTTTAGTGGGTCCAAATTAAATAAAAGTTGGAAATAGAATTGCTTCCCTCGTTGGAAAGATTGATAGTCCATCAGAAGACCAACAATGAGACATTCACTCTGCTAAAATGTAGCAAACGATGAAAAATAAAAGTCCAAACATTACGTTCTTTTGGTGCGTTGTTTCCTATAATTAAAATCATCTTATGTCAGAGAAAAAAATGTGACTTTTCAGATTGTTTATGAARGCCACATAAAAAAAAATCAGACACAAAAGACACTCACTGGGCTGGCCAGGACAGCTGAGGGCCCTCTCCAGCTCCTCCATCGCTCCCTTCTTCTTCTTCAGCTTCTTCACCAGAGAGTCCACGGCCTTCTCTGCCCACTTCTCTTCCTCGTCCCCTTGCTTCCAGCCGAGCAGACGCTTCACCGCCGGGCTGGTGAAGGAGAACAAGGATGTGAGGGAGGTGGAAGAGTTCATTTTGAGACGGATAAATGGGGTGCCAAGATGAGCCGATGGGTCCTGCTCATGGGATAATAGCACCCTTGAGGACGGGAGTGAGGAGGTAAATAATGAGCAGCCAGGACAAAGACGTGAAAAAAAAGGAGGTAAAGATAAAAGAGGTGGCTTGATGACTTTGTGTAAACACAGGCCCTTTTTTTCTCTCTTTATATTCCGCTGTAAGTTCCGAGCAGCTCGGGCGAAGGAGCTGGACTCCAGCCAGCGCAGTGCAAACCCTAAATCCTTTCTCTGTGTTGGCACAGGAGAGATCTTTGGCTTCAGAGCCTCCTGCTGGGATGGTGATTCCTCACGCCGCCAGAAATCCAGGTCAAGTTTCAATCATCTGGCAAAAGACACGATGAGAGATTGTATTAGTTCAGCCAAAACAGCTGCATGGTGGCACAGAGATCTTAGGGTTTTGTCACTAAGGTGATAAGCCGGCCTGACACAATGAGGAGCTCCACATTTAATGAATCGAGCTTTTAAAAGGTGGATTTCCATAATGAGCAGGGTGCTTCTGCAAAATTCACTTTTTTTCTCTCTCTCTCTCTAAATGGGAAACAAAATGGTTTCAGACAGAGTAAGATGGCCAGGCTCGTTTCTAGATTCCCCAACAATGAGGAATGTCCTTTCTGGCCTCTGTTTCAATGATCATGCCACTGACGCCCAGGAGCCATACTGTCTGGCCAGAACACATCACAGAGCAGGAGGGGGAGCGGGAGACAGGGAGGGAGACAGACACCGAGTCCTTGTGTTTCTGTCTCTCTGGCTGTGCTGAATATTACACACATACCTGGAATGAAGCGCACAGAATAACACGAGCAGCATCTTTAGCTTTGATCTCCTTAATGTTTTTGTTAGAAGTGTGGCTTTAAGGTTTCATGTCAGAGCATTTTTGGTAATAAAAAAATAYACTTTTGCACATCATCAATGCCAGATCTATGTGCACCCGATTTCAAAATCGATTCGTACGGAAATTTTAATTTTAGCACCATTCATGCAAAAATTCTAAACTGAGATCATCTAAGAGTTGTAGCAATATATCCAAACATGGAAAGAAAAACAAAACAAAACAAAAAAATGCAGTTGCATGCAACATCCCAAGATGTCACACTCAGAGTATGTTTTGTATATGGCTCTTAGCTACTACCAAGTCAAAATTCAGCTCAATGTCTACAAAACTGACAGAACTATAGTCATTTTTGTGTTTGGTCATCTTGACTGCCTTTAGTGTCCGTTTCAAATTGGATTGACTCCAGGAGTTAGTCAGTTGTAGACACATGTCCAGTCACTACTTTCTGAAAGTTTCATTCAAATCTGTCCAGTGGTTCATAGGACATTTTGCTAACAGACATTGTCAAAAATGTTTTTTGTAAGTATTATTTGTGACTTTTTACACATTAAATGAGTCTGATTAGAATCAGCTCCAAAAAGAAAACCTCTGTGAATTTATCTAACGTGGGCAGACAGATGATGATCTTTATTATGTTTTTTTTTATTATTATTAGAGACAGTGCTGCATCAGTCCTCCTCTGCTGCTGCTGCTTTATGGAAGCTGGCGTCACTCAGTCTGCAGCCTCAGATAGGCTAATTACCTAATGCTTTATCACCAGCCCCTTCCCAAAAAAGTAAACACTCCAGCTTCCTTATACTATCACTACATCCTGGCTTTGCGTCGCTACGGGATTCTGATTCGAACCTGGGACCTCCCTGCACCTTGATGCTTGAAGAGTGACTAAAACAAAAAAATAATAACAATTTGATTCTTCTTATCAAAACTTTTGGCAGTAAAAGTCAACCTCAAACAGCTGATTGTTTCTTAYTATATTGATGTGCGCTCAAATTATTATTATTGCTCTTGTGTGCGCAGTTTCCTGCAAAGGTTACAAAACATTAATTTGATTTTAAAAAAGTTCTCCAACAAAAGCCCACTTACACAGCTGCTTAAACAACACATTTCCTATTTCCAAGAGCCGCATTCACCCCCACAACAYGTTTTCCCAAAAGACCTTTACGACATCTTAAATGACAAACTACAGTTGATTTCCTCACCTCTGTTGTGACAACAAGTGCGCCGCAGACAGCCGAGCCAGTCTGGAGGCTTCCGCGTCTGTAGTGGGTCAGCCCCGCGTGCTGGAACTGCCAAAGGTGTGTTGTCTGTCTTTCTGTCTGCGCGCGTGCGTGTCTGTGCGAGGAGCACACGGCCGAGTGTTTACTAGCGCGCATATTGACGTTTGGCCGAAAAGAGAGCGTCAAGATAAAGAGCGCATCCGGTTGTTTGTTTCAAAATAAAAGTTTTGCAACGCTGCTCCACAACTTCTAAAATGATTTTAATTTTAATTTTCTTTTTTTTATGGCCTCCCTTCTCCCCTTATAGCCATCCTGTCCACACCATTATGGTTTTTTTTGTGAAGAGAAAATAGAGAGAGAGAAAAACAGAAAGAGAAGTAATTAGAAAGATAGAAACACTGAAATAGTGATTAGGAGTATATTAAATATACACCAACAAAACACAGGACCACACACSCAACATCTGTCCGCTCACCTGAAAAATAAATGGATAAATACATGGAGGGCATATATGAGAATACCCACATACCCATACATATACAAAGATATACATACATACATGCCTACATTCATAAATACTGTATTGTCTGTATATACACACAGACATACAGTATATACACACTCAGTGACCAGTCAGAACCCCCGGATCAGAACACCTGTTTGTGAGCAGTTGTGAACATGC